ACGTGCTCTTTGCAACCTCCTTGCAGCCACCCTGCCGCACCGGTGGCACTGCCGCAGCTCCCTTCCATAAAAAAAACATTAAAAAAAAGAGATACACCACAGGAAAAACTACACGAGTAGAGGGATGTGGTTTCTCTTGGTGCTGGACCACCCCCCTGATCCAGGGCACGAGATACCTGGGCTTCAAAACTAGATTAGATCCTGACAACGTTCCTCTCCAGCCTGAAGAAAGGGGTGAGAGGAGAAGGGAGATGGAGGAGGAGTGGCAGCAAGTCGCAGAAGGAAGCTGGAGGGTGGAAATCAAAGGAGGCTGTGGGTTATTTAGGCCACCCCTTCCTGCCAGTCCTTGGTGTGGAGATTACAGAGCAGCCTCCTGCCAGCACACGCTGGTTCTGGTTACCAGGAGCCAGAAGAAAGCCTAAAGATGAGCCCTGAGCATCACATAGTCTCAAACATGATCCAACCCTGAGCTCAGGACTACAAACACAAAGAGGTGACGTGGCCCAGATGACTAAAGCCATCAAAGGCCAACAGCTCATGTAGAACCGGGGCTTGAACTGTGCTACTTGCCAGGAGTGTCCCTGATAGGAGGCAGATCCACATAAATCAGGGAAAACCCATCTCTGGTTGCCCTTTCTACCAGGCACTGCATCAGTATCGGCAGATGCCAACCTGATCTCCTGCCAGGAGAAGGTCTAAGGGTGCCCAGTGTCCCACCACCGCTCCCTGTGCCCTCTCCCTGCTGGAGGTAACGGCGTTTGGGCAGAGGTTTGCTGTGTGTGTTACCTGTGTGCGAAGCTCAGCTCAAGAAGGGGCCTTGCCCACAGACCAATCTGCCTCCAGGGAGACCCCTGACGCCCACCAAAGGGACGCCCGGCAGTGCTGGCAGCCAGGGCTGACGTCTCACCTGCGCCCGGACCAGCGACTCGAAGCTGGGTTTGAAATAATCGATGCGGCTGCTGTAAAACTTGGGCATTTCCTCCAGGAGCTGCTTGTTTTTGCCTTCAAAATCCTCCTTCACGGGCCTCAGCTCTTCACGGGCCTGCGAAAGGAGAGAGGAGACGTGGGGAAATGCCCTTCCTTTGGGCAGACCTCCAGGAAAGCCACCTCAGGTCAGAAGACTGCTCTGCTTTGACCTGAGGACAATTAAAGGGACTGGTGGGACCCAAGCTCTGACCCTGGCAAGCCAGCACAACCTAGAGAGGCTGCTGCAGAGACCACAACTCAGATGGTCCTCTCCCCTTCAGAGGAACGTGGAGAAAAACCAGACCCAAAGCTCAGCTGGGCTGGAGAACCTCCCGGGCCACGTATGCGTCCCCTGCGATCCGCAAGAGCATCATCCCCAGAGGATCCTACCCCCACTGTCACTTTCGCCCGTGACCTTCAGCTCGGCGAGTCCAACTGGCTTCTTTAAAGAGAAGCGTGGGGAGAAAGGGAAATGTCTCTGAGATGGTGTGGAAAAGGGCAGGAGGGGGTGGGCTGTGAAATATTAGACCGGTTCGAGTCTGCCACTTAATCCCGGTGCCATTCCGACGGGCGGGAGCGACCCGGCGAGCCCAGCCCAGCCGCGGCGCCGGTGGGGTGACAGGGACAAAGCCTGGCAGAACCTTAAATCACTGAGGAGGTCTGAGAATGAAACAAGGAGGGTCAGAACTCCCCGGGGCGGAGCTCACGCGGGGCAACGAAAAGCAGAAGAGCTGGAGCGAACGGTGGCTGAAGGGAAAAATGCAGATTTGCATCTCCATAAAGATCCCTGAAGGAGATGATGCTATTTCCCACCAAATTTTAGGACCTCTAGGATGCCCCAGGTTCAGGGTTGGTTAAGGTTCCTGCAGGTGTTTAAGCTCACGCAGTGGTTAGGTAAGATCTTTGGTTTTTTTTAGATCACACCGAAGTTCATTAAGGGGAAAAAAAATTAAATAACTAAAACCTGCTTAATCACCAGGACAAAAGCATTCCCATTTTTTTCCAGCCACAGCTTTAGTCACTGAGGCTAAGCGAAGTAAGCTGCTTACTATTAAATCGGAGGGCTCTTTTGTTAAGGCTGATAGGGCTATTCTTTAACACAAAACTTAATTTTTGCGGGGAAAGTCGTCAGAAAAAACCCCCACACGTGTTCTTTGACGCCGAGAAAGTCAACTGTTCCTTTGAGGATCAAGCGGGAGCGAGAGATTTGAGGGGAAATGCTGGTGTAGATTTACTTTAAAAAAAAAAAAAAATTGCGATTGTGCTAAAATTTAGGAGAGAGAAAGGAATCTGGCAAAGCTTCCTCTTAACCAATTACTGCGATTTTCCAGGCTGAATTGCTGTAACAGGTGGTAAACATAAAGCCCCGCGCTTCCCCCTTCCCCATCCAGCTGCTCGCTCGGACGTGGGGAAACCCCTCGTGTGACGGCTCCAGCGCTGGCAGCCCGACCTCCAGGGGCTTTTATTCCATTTTAATTTGGAAAAAATCCCCTTCGCTGACCTCTCCCATCCCCATCCCTGATAAAACCCACCCGTTTGCTTCCCATCCATTTGCTTCCGCGTGGGCTCGGCGTGGACTTTGACCGCCACGAGAAAAGCTCTTGGGACACAATTTTGGGGCTTTTCCCCAGGGATTTGGGTACCTGGTGCAGCTTGGCGAGGACGGGGCCGGTCCTCTCCTTCTCCTCGTACTTCTCCACCTTGGACTGCAGGCGCTTGTAGTCCTGCAGCGTCTGTTACCGTCTCTTCACGGACATGTTCAGGCTGGGGAACACGCTGGTGAACCTGGCGTTTTTTAAAGCATTGGAAGGTTTTTTGGGGTTTTTTTTTTGGGTGAGAAACGTCTCATCCGAGGCGATCTCCCAGCTGAGAGTCCCCAAAGGATGCAGGATTCAGAGTAAAAAATACCCCTTGCGACCATAAAAGCTCTCCCTGCTGTCTTCCAGGAGCCTGGAAGAAAGGATTAAGTTTATATATAAAGATTAGCAGAACCTCGCCAGGGTATGAGGTTTGAGAGGAGAGCAAGAAGCACACGCTTGGGTTTTGTTTTTTTCTCACGTGCCGAAGGGTGTGCTTTTAAATAATAATAATCAGAACCGAGCCAATCCTGCGAAGCCTGGTAAAAACACTTCGAAGGCCCCAACCTGCTTCTGCCTCTTCCTGCCAGCCCGGGTGTTTTTACCATTAGCTCTTTATTTTTAACAGGTTTCCCTCCCCTTCTCTTCCAGCTGCTACGTTGGAAAACACGGAGAGCTGCCTTATCTGGGACGGGGGACGGAAGCTGCCGCAGAAGACAAAGCTGTTAACTCCACCGGGCAAAGCAAAGGGAGAAAAATAAACGGGTTTTTTTCCCCCATATATAGTCAGCTGATGTAGTATTTCCCTAATACTGTGCTTGGAAAAAGAGGAAGAGGAGTTGAACCAAAAGTCTGGGCGCTCTGTACCCCACACAGAAGGATTAACAGCAGCCAACAATTAGCCAGGCTACAGGAAGATTCATATTATTAAAATGTGTTACAAATTGAGGAAACACGAACATCTGACGTCGAAGACAAGGGCAGATATTTTCAAACGTGACAGAAGAAGGGAAGTCAGCAACTGGAGCGTTGCTCTTGCCTCCCAAATTTCAAATTATACTGGTGTGGAGCTCTGGGTTTGTATGAAACAGGTCACGCTACCTCCAGATATATTAGTTTAACCTCCACAAATTACACAGGGTTGTTCTGGGGTGGGATGGGGGGGAGAAGCCAGGAACCGGTTGTAAAAAATGTGTCTAAATGGTTTGGTGATGATTCTCCCTTCTAAGAGAGAAGTAAACAGCTTTAAATTGAAAAAAAAAATTAAAAAAAAAAAGAAAAGGAAACCAAACCAAACTTATAATCCAGGCTGAGAGACACATTAGCAAAAAGAAACTCACAAATCTCACTTTAGGGCAGGGATTTGCTTTGGATGCGGTCGGGCGCGGGGCTGACACAGGCACTTGGGTTCAAACAGAACCACGGGGGCTCACAGCACCCCCAGCCCCTTCATCCTCTCCTAAAATCTCATTTTCCTACACTGTGCTGGCCCCAGGGGGGTGCAAAACGTGCCGGACCAACGGGTAAAGGGGCAACGCTTTGGTCCCTGAGCCTGACCAGGTTGCAAAAGGCAAACGCCAGAAGCAAGGAGGGTGCGGGGGAATATTTGCATTCGAGTTCAACATCCCTCATCGAGCCGGTGACCCCCGCAGCCGGCCCGGTCACCCCGAGGATCGTTAACCCTCCGACTATTGCCAAGGGACTGATGGCACGAGGAGCGACCTGCAAAAGTCATCAGGGAGCTGGCCCAGCGTCACCCCGGCGCCCAGCAGATGCTGCTGCCCTGACATTGCTTTTTATGGTAACCCTCACACACGGCTCCCCATTATATTGAAATACTTACGGCTCCACGCACGGGCTCAGCACCTCTTGGGCTAAGGGCTGCTGCTCCAAATCCCTCCTCCCTCTACGTAAGGTCCAAAAATACGCCGCGAGAGGGGCGAGGGCAGGACGGCGCGGAGGCAGGGAAGGGGTACCCAGGTTGGGTGTAAAAAGCACCGACGCTCCTGCAGAAATTCCTCCCCAACTATAAATGAACTGGACACGGCAAGGAAGGATCCCATCGAAGAGGTTGATTGCAAAGATGCCTCAAAAACTTTAAGCCCCACGTCGGTACCCACTTCTAAACGGTGGGGTTTTTTGGTTTTGGGTTTTTTTTGCCCCGATGGCCCAGCTTTCCAGCTCTTTCTCTTCGCACGCTCTCTCGCGCTCGGCACCTCCGTGGCGCTCGTACATTAAAAGAGCCACGAGACACCAGAGAATTAGCGCGAAGCCATTTACATCTTACAAACCTGGCACCGCAGGGGAAGAGCGAACCCCTTTAGCTCAGCGAGCGAGAACGCACAAGACGATCGGCGACACAGTTTCCCTTCACTTTGAAGTTAAATCTGGTTTTAAAAGGGGAAAAAAAGGTTTTTATTTTTTTTCCCCCGCTTCCTAGTATCAACCCGGTGCGATTTTGCAGCCTGGAATGGAAGGACACTGTACTCTGGCAGCGCTTTCAAAAAACATATCTACAGCGCTGGAGCTGAAGGGGCTGTTGCTGTGTAGGCACAGCAACTACTGTCTCATAAGGACTTTTAATGCATAGATTATACGGTGCATTTCAGAGGGAGGGAGAGGAGAGAGCTGCCATTATTAAAACCCACCACGCACCCACCCACCGGCTCCGGGTGCCCCGGGCTCCAGCCCGGGCGCTAGAGAAGAAGCGACGAGTTGCCGCGGGATGCACACGGGGAGCCTGAGCTGCTCGAGGGGTTTTAAGGGCCGTGAGTGGCAGAAGTCGAAAATCTCCCGAGCTGAAGTCACTTGCAAACCCTACGTGTTGTCTCGGAGCGGTGGTTGTCTCGGAACGGCGCAGCCACGTGCCGACCGAGCTCTCGCCGTGGGTCACCTGGTGTAATTTTCACGCGGGATTAGCCTCAGCTCGAGCAGGGAAGGATGCTCCTTCCTCGGCCTGAGCTGGATTGAGGCGGAGCTGCCTGCGGCTCCTGAAGGAATTACTCCGTATGAATTCCCTCTTAACCCAGCAGCTCTGAAATTCCCCCGGAGTTGAGAGAGAAGAGGGTTCCTTGCCCACGCTGAGGTCCCGCCCGCGTTTTTTTCCCCCTCTGTGTGTACAGAAATACGACCTCAAGCCAAGCGCCAGGGGTGGTAAACACCGTGAAGGGTGACAGGGAGATACGGGCCACTGCCAGGTTATTCTGGTGACTTAATAAACTGCTGCATTTCACACGTCACCCCAGTGTCTCCGCAAATATCTCGTGCATGTTATTTACGGATGCTCCTCGGGCAAAGCCTGGGCCGTCCACAGAGCCCCCCGAACCCGCTGCCACCCACCTCCACGTCCCTCCGCCTCCCGCGAGAACCACCCCACGAGGGCCTCAAAGCTTTTCCCTGAGCCTTCGGCTCAGCGCGGCGAGCGGGCGACGATTCCTTCTGCCGAGGAAGCGCAGAGGAAAAGCCCGACACAGCAGATGTGGGTATTTATTTCTAAAGCCCATCCTCCTCCTCCTCCTCCTCCTCACATTCCACCCAGCCCCCTGCTCCTGTAGGGGATGAGAGGGTCTGACAGCCGTAACCGCTCGCAAATCCCCGTGCCCGCTTGCCCGCGCTCCCCGTTACTCGACGCTTTCTTTTTAAACACAAAGCAAAGAAAATTGAAGCCGACTTAAAGGAAATTTGGCGGGCACGGCGCTTAGAAGCGCCGAGCGGAGTGAAGGTAAAACAGCAGCACCGGGGCATTAGGTCCCCCGCCACAAAAGCAGCTTCCAGAATAAGCCGCCGTTGTTCCCTGTCACTTTTTAGGCAAGGCTGCTGAGCGGGGATTACAGCACAGGCGGCTTAAGAGGAGCAGGTGAGGGGAGATACGCAGGGATAACTAAAAGAAAATACAATGGCGGGGAGTGGGGAGAGGGGGAACGCACCGGTGAACTCCTCTTAGGATGACAGTTTACCCTTGGGGAAAAAAAGACCCAAGCAAGCACCCAAATATAAGTCACCCGATTCTCTGAATTATAAATCACGTTGCCAACCTCGTCTCCGCGCCAAGCCTCCCTTCAGCTCCTCGTAATTAAAG